GCAGAGGAGCTGAATAAATAGCTAGAGTGGGGCTTGTAGTGGGTTTTCTGGAAGTTACGTGTATCGTTTACTCGTGGAGTAGAAAACCAGCAAAATGTCCTGCAATAATATTGCAGAATAGCCCGGCGGCTGTTCGCTGAACCTGTACGGGAAACAGGTACCAGCGAGCTGCTCGTTAGCTTCTCACATTCCCTTTGGTAGGCTCCGAACTTCCGAGAAGCTCTGAAGTGCTGTTTAGTGAGGACACGAGAGGCCTCGACAAATATTGACTACCTGCACTTGACACACAGCTTTTAAGTTGCTAAAGTTAAAGCTAGCAAAGTTACGCTTTGGGCATTCTGTTCCCTTTGTTCTCTTTACAGGCATTTAGCAATATATTACATCAGGTGAGTTAACTGTTGTTGGGTATCTTCGAGGGACTCGGTGACTTCTCCTCCAGCTGAGGCAGGTCCTCCTCGGTCTAGAGGGAAGAATAACTGAGAATCGACTTGGCAGGGTGCTAAAAGAAGGGTGTGAGGAAGCTTTGATTATTTATTTGTTTTTGTGTGCCCACTACCTTTTTAATCAACTTTCATTTTTCAGCCTGCTTTTGGATGCATCTGACTCTAAATCGCAAAAACTTGTTCTTTGTATATGGATACTAACCTAGGCCCGCTGCAATGTCATCAATTGTTTGAATTCAAAGAATCCCCAAAAAGGAACTTTGCTTTTTCTGCTCTGAGGAAGTTTTACAACTCCATCTGCTTGGACAATAATAATCCTAATTCTGCTTGTTTTGTAAGGATGACCTTTTGCAGGAAGTACTACATGAGAATCCAGACTGCAAGTATATCAAGCAAAAATAATCACGTCCCTTAAAGCTCCTTTGGTTCACTTCCTGTGATGTATCTTTTTCTTTTGCCAAGGTTTGCTTTTTTGATGTCTGAAGTGTCAGAATTTACTGTAGAGCATTGTGGAATTCCTCAAAAGGATCCTTCAACAAAGTTTTGGGAAGATAAGTAGTTGTGAGGTGCTGAAGTAAGTGTTATGAGCATGGACCAGTTTTAGGGACACCTGTAGCCATTGCATAGAACAGAATAAGCTTCAATAGAGGCATCTCCACTAGAGTATTAGTGTGTTAGTGCATTATTAGTGTATGAGCATGTTAGTGGAGTACAGAAGATTCAGGCAAAGGTACCCTCAAGCCTGAATGACTTTTCTGGTTTAAGACACTTGCTGAGGAGTCTTAGTCTGGAACAGTGTGTGCCTCTGGTGAAAATAAACAGAGGGAGTTTAAAATAATTTGTTTTAAATAGCAAATATTTTCTGAAAACAACTGAAGGATCATTAAAAGCACTTCTGGTTTGGGTTTTTGTTCTTTTTTTTTTTTTCCCTCAAAAAATAATTTAGGCACACAAATACAGAAATATGCCTACCATGAAACAGCCCAGGTTTTATGTTAACAACTGGAGAAAGTGTTATGCCATCCCTCCCATTCCCCCAGCTGGATTTGGGAATTCTTCTTAACCTCACTGAAAGTTGATGTCCTTTGTGACAGATGCTGTGTGCTGTATCTCATGGGTTATGTTCTGCATGAGAGCAGATACTGAATGTGTGGGGTATACCTGACTTCTCATTCAGAGAGGGCTGAAAGATGCTGTGATGCTTTGTGACTTCCCAAAGGCTCTAGCTCAATGTGGAGGAAATTAATAGCCTCTGAATTGTCTGACTAGTAAAATATCTGTGCTGTGATTATTGGCATGTAGTGTTCAGCTTAGCAGGGTTGTATTGTGTTAGTTACTGAGTGTGCTGACCTAGTGGAACAAAATGCCTAAATTTCAGTAGTGCTACATGCATCCTTAGGCTTTAAACAAAAGGTTAAATATTCCCCTGGATTAGGCCAGAGTATTAAACCTGACTGAGCTGAGAAGGAAAATAAAAATTGGAGCATACTCTGTATGTTTGTAGTAGAAGAGTCTTATGCTGTGTGTATGTGTTGGTATTTTCTGGTACTTAGCAACTTCTACAATGGCCCTGCATTAATGATAATGGAAAGGTACTAGTTGTTCTGGGTAGCTGACTTCGATGTCAAAAATCAGAGATCTCTCTGTATGGATGTGGGACTACTGCAACATCTGCCCAAACCTCTTCTGTCCACTTTAGTAGGGCAGAATATTCTACAAGAGTGGAAAGCTGAGTGACAAGTCAGTGATGGGGTTTTTTGTTTGCTTATTGTTTAAAATTGAGGAAATACTTTGTTGTAGAAGGCAGTCTGAGTGTCCCAGAAATAAGTGATGTCTGTTTGCTATTCCTCCCCCATTTTTGTGCTTATGTTGGGCTGTTTCCTTCCAGGATATGTTCATTTCCTGCAATTAATGACAATTGCTAATCTGCCTGCATTTCCCTTTTATTTATCTCTTGTATAGCTTCTCAGAGCAGAGTCAAATTTTACTGGACTTGTTGCTTGTGAATTTAAAAGATTAAAAATTGTAACTTGATTGTTTTAAAGGCAGTCCAAATTACTGTCTGCAGTTGCTTTCAGCCTGGTGAGGAGAACTGATCCTGTTTCTGCTGGAAGCAAACAGTTCTTTGCCATTAAGTGGTAGAAATGGATGAGTGATTTCCTCTAGTTGAATGATCCTCCACAGCTATCTCCTAGCTCTTCTGGATTTAAAAATCTTAATGAGGAAATGCTGTTTACCACCACTATTTGTTTCATTCTATTTTGACATGCAACATTTCCCTTGCCTTTGTCTTGAGTGTCATTTTGGAGTGAGTCTCTGAAGCAGGAGTGTAATCCATACAGGGTTTCTTGTGAGGGGCCCTTTTCTTCACTGCTCTTAAGTAATGTCAGCATAAGTGCATTTCTTGCAGTTTTAGATCATGTTGTTAGTGCAGGATCCTGTTATTAACTTCGTTCAGTAAAAACACCACCTCTTCCCCTTCTCCCTGCATCCAGTGTATGTCTCTGTACTTCACGGAGTTGTGCCAAAGCATCTGGTTTACTTCACTTGCAGATAGTGTGAAGGTCTTGATGTAACAAAGTACTGTGTTATCTTTTAGCCTCTGAACTCCACTCTTTTTGTTGCTATTTTAAAAAATGGTCACCCCTTTAATGCTTAATTAAATGGTAAATTTGACAGTCAGATCTGTCTGGCACAGCCTGAACTGCAGATTGGTGCAGACTAGCCAGTGACACTCCGAGCAGAGGGAAGGTATGAGGGTGTTGTGTAAGTGTTGCTTCTGGGTTTTCTTTTTAAAACAAGATCTGGATGAGAACCTGCGGACATGCAAAGGTTTTGTGCTCTTTTCTATTTCATTTCATAGGATAAAACATTAACCTTGCATTCTGATGCACCTTTCCAGTTTTAATCAGCTGTAAAAGAAAGTAGGTGTAAAAGGCATTGAGGTGTATTAATAGCAGGATTTTTTTATCCAAGACTGCAACAAAAGCATAATCTGTTCACTTAACAGAAAACACACACAAAACCCCCTAGCTTTTGAAAATCAGCAACAATAGCATTACTGGTTGCTTGCTGTAATTTGCTTATGTTATAGATGGCAGCATGTGCATGAAGCTGAAAGGAACAGGTGTTCTAATAAAGTACATGGTTATTCATGATCTCTCTTCTTTTTCCTTAAAGTTGGAATTTCAATTTTCACACTCCTGTCTCTGATCCTTCTCAGATTAGCTGCTTGGGAGTACTTTGAAGTGTGTAAGAAGGACTTAATGAAATGCTTGGTAAGATACCACAGTGGAACATGTGAAGTCATTGATTTTCAAGCACAATACTAGTTCTACTTTCCTGCAAATTTCAACTGCCTGGGACTGTTGCAAGGGTGCTGAAGGGTAGAATGGATTCAAGGCCAAGAAGTTTTCATGTACAGTTGAAATAGTGTGTTGGTTTGCCCCAGGGTTTTTGTGTGACGTCTCAGTAGTACTCCTGAAGCATAAGTGTCTATGCTAAGTTCAGATCTTGAGGAAAAGCTAAATGCATCAGCTGTACTATCAGACTGTTCACAAACACACTAACTCTTAATCTTTTTGATCAATTAGTTAAACTGCAGTCAGCTAAGCATGGGAGTACTCACCAGCAAGTTTCCTGTGTGTGATTTTGTTACTGGAAGGCACAGTGCTGCAGTCTGGATTGGCTCTGTGGAGGGGAGAGAGAACAGCATGATGTTAGTAGCAGAATTAAATTGGTTGCATGCTACCTACCTACTGCAAAAAAGCCTGCTGAGTGCTTTCAGTTTTCAAGCTCCTGCATAAAAAAGTAGTATGAATTTTTCTTTGCATGGCACCTTCTTGCCTGCATAAATAATACATTAGAGGAGGTGCCTTTTAGTGATTTCTTATGTGTAGTGCAATAATCGTATCCAAGACGCCAGTTTGGCACCTTTCTCCCACAGCTGGAAAGCTGTTTGCTTAGAACACAAAACAGGAAGGAGTTTGTCTCTTTCAAAGAACAACTGTTAATAGCCTGCTAGATAAGCTTTCCCTTTATTTTTCATCTACAGGAATTTCTTTTTCCTGTTCTCATGCCAACAATTTTGCAGTATCTGTTATTCTTGCTATAGGAATTCTTAAGAATCTGGTGGAGGTCACGTCTAAGTGGCTTTAGCCTGTTGCAGGTATTCCCAAGCAACTTCATTCCCACCCTTAAGCTACCCTTTGCATAGTGGCTACAAATCTGCGTGTAAAAACACTTGCAGGTGAAGACGTGGCATAGGTAGACCATAAACTTACGTAATTTTCCCTTGGAAATGAAAATTCATATATTGTATGTGAAATACAGTCTCAGTTCAATAATTAGCTCTTTAAATGCTGAAAGAGGTTACTACAGAAAACACTGGAACTTGCTATAATGATGAAAGCCTAATCATTCTCCCATTTTGTTCATTGTTGTTGCTTGCTAGAGCCACGTACCATGGGAAATTCTTAAATATTAGATGTGATTTATTCTAAAGGCCTATGCCTTTTTTTTTTTTTTTTTTGATACCAGCTTGGACTGCTGAGGAGGGGGCAGTATCAGGGAAACATATCCTGCTCTTCTTGCTTAATGAAACTCTTAAAACTCTATGTAACAACCTAATTGGGGTGATCAAAGTTAAAAAGGAATCCTTTAAGATGGCCAAGAAGTTTGGTGTTCTGTAGAAAGCAACAGCAAGTTGTTCCTGGGTCAAACTACAGTGTTTGACCACATGATTAATGCTGGTGAGGAAAGTGTGTGGATGACCAAAGTATTGGAAGTTAACTGACTGTCAAAACATGCAGTAATCCAGCCCTGATTTCTGTGTCAATCAGTGTTGTAGCTGCTGAGCATTTGCCATAGCAGGTGGTGGGTGTTGGTTTGGGATTTCAGACACTGAAATGCTTTCTGTTTCAGTACCTTTCTTCCTATTTTTTTTTCCCTATAGGAACTTAAATTGCCTGTGTACAAGGCTCGTTCACCACAGATTGGGATGCGCCGATGCCTTGTTGATATCTTGATTCTGCTCAGCAACCATTGCAAGCTCTGCCCCACAGCCCGGCATCTTGCTATCTATCTACTGGACCTCTTCATGGATCGCTATGATGTGACTGCCAAGCAACTGTACATAATTTCATTTGGCTGTCTTCTCCTAGCAAGTAAGTTGGCTGCTGTCTATTAAGGCTTTTTCTTTTGAGCAGATGGTTGTTTTCCTCATATATCATGTACTGTTTTCTCTGTGTTAACAGCTTTCACCTACTTAGGGTAAAGCCTAATGAAGTCCAAATCAAGGCATAAAGCAGTCTGTTAATAAGCTTGGCTCAACTGCATAACTTGCACTACACATCTATATGCAAGGATTTTAATAGAAGCAAAAAAGCTGTCAAGACTTTCATTATGTAAATAACTGAAGTAAAATGCAACTTTAGGCCATCTCTATGCAACTGTGAAGGAAAAGGAAGTTCACAAACTGCCCTATGATAATACTAGAGGGAAATGTTTTGTAACTTCTGCCTGTTGGGGCTGAGGGGGAAGGCAGTTTGCTTAAAAGAGCAAGCCTATGTCTAGTGAACTAAAGAGTGTGAGAGTCTTTCCAAAACTAAGATCAGAGCAATGCAGTAGCATGTATACATCTTGATTTGGAATAAAATGATCCCTTACAGGAAGGAAAAAGATCAACTACTGTAAAGGCAGCTTTCCTACCACATGTAGAAACAAAACATTGACAGTTGAACCAAACAAAATTAACTCCTCATTAACTTGTATAGGTAAGGTTTAAAATGCTAGTAGGGCTCCGCCTGGAGACTTTTGGGAGCATATGAAGCTCTGTTGTTACTGCCTGGGCCATCCTAATGTTCTTTTTTGGTATGTGTACTTCAAAGTGATGCAAGTCAAGAAAAGCCACTACAATAAGTGGGAATTCCTATGTTTAATTTATTAGTTTCAAAATTAATGTTTTGGAGTAAAAGATTCCGAGTAAGTCAGAAGTACCAGCATGAAGTCACCTTAAAAGTTCTCACTGTAGCAAAGAAGTGTAAAACTAGTTCCTTGCCTGTTAGTGCAAGTGCAGTAATTAGACCTTCCTGCAAAACATTACTGTAGGAAGTGGCTGGTTTTTCAGCAGAGGATTGCAGCAGCAGTGCTCTGCAGGCTGTGTTGCAAGAGACTTGTACTCCTGAAAAAAAATACACCTTTACCGTAGAGAGGAAAAAAAACCCCAATAATAGTTGTGGTGTATACATGATATCAAAATTACTGTTTAATACAGACTGCCTTTGAGTAATTGTTATAAACACGTTTTGAGAAACTCTGGGTTTTCTTCCTGATTGCTTCCTTAGAAAAAAACAGGTCGTTAAGGTTAGTGTGCAGGCCACAAGCAAGATGAGGTGTAGTTAGAGGCAAGATTACTTATTCCCACTAATGACTGTAAGTGTGGGTTGTTTTGGGGGTGGGAGGGGCATAATAGAGAAGCTTTTAGACACAACTTTTGAAATAGAAGCAGCAAACTTCTAAATGCAAGTTGAAGACTATTCCTGAGTTTAGAAATTGTTGTAAACTTGTGTTTTGCTTTGAAGCTTGTTGCTTCTATTCTGGATCTAAAGGATTTCAAACTCTCATCTCTTTTCCTTTACCTCCGGACATTGTCATCACCAATGACAGTGGTGATGACAACACACATCACATGGTGATGACAACACAACCACAACCACACATCATCATGTATGTTTTTGATAGCATACAACAGCAGTGCTGTCATGATGGAGAATGTAGCATTCTGCTAGATGTCCTTTAGTTAGCTGGGCTAATTTCTAACTTTTCCCATTTTGACTGGGTCAGCAGTTTCCCCAGCCAGGGAAACTGGATGATGATAGTGTTTCCTACTTTGGTAATAACTGGGAGGGACTGAGAAGTTAACACTGCTGCAAACAAATTGCACTAGCAGCCTAGTAATGTTCAGCCTGGACTTGCTGCAGTTGAGAGGAATATGGGTGTGTGTCCTTCATAGCATTCAGTTGCTCACTAGCCAGAAGAGGTATGTTTCTTTGCAATGCATGCACACCGTAATAATAGAAGGTTTCTGGCAATTCCTTCCAGATAGTTTAGCTCCTCAGAACAGCTATAAAAGCTTTGAAGTGTACTAATGTCATCAGTGGTTGTTATTTCCTCTCAATCAGTTCTGAAAAAGAATGGTAAAAATTGTTCACAGTGAACTAAGTGCTACTGGGGGAGGGAAGGAAAAGTTGCTGGAAAAATTGATCTCACAGTTACGTTAAGAATGTATTAAGAATAGCCCATCTCTTTCACTTGCACTAAGGGAAACTTTATGATCTAAATCAGAACCTTAAACTGAACATGTTTCTGTAACACAGAAAGACCTGCCCATGTGGATGTTTTGGCTAGGTACATGACTAGAGACAGAGAACCCCCTTTGGAGGTCCACTGTGGTAATATAAGAGGTTGTAGGTTCCTGCTGCTGCAAGATCATTAGTGAAGTCCAGTGACTGTAATTTTTCAAAAGGAGAGATGTTGGCTTTTGGTGAAAAGTAATGCTGGACAGCTGGGACTGGTGGTCTTCAGCCAAGCCAGCTGGATCTAGAGCCAGGATAGTTACCAATACACCTGCACAGAAGCCAGGACACAGTCTCTGCATCAGGCTATGGATAAATGCTCCTGTAAGTGACTAAAAATGTTACTACTTTCCTTTTCCCCCAGAGCACCCCAGTGCTTTTAGTAAGCTCACATTTATTTTTTCCAGACAAAATCAGCTGTCTGATGCTGTCAATAGGTGGATTGATTTAGGTTAACTAACACTTTGAAGGGAATTGAGGAACTTTCAGTTTGCCTCACTTGGCAGCTGAGAAGGCAGATCCTTGTAGAGGGGCACTGCTGAACAGCAGCAGGTTGTAAAGTTCTAAACTGCATCTTCACTGGGCAATTTATTCCAGAAAATGATAGCAATATTAAGGTGCTCTAGCCCTAAGTGTCCTGTTAGAACAAGGGATTGTGTAAAGATAGCCCATCTGCTTTAGTGCTGCTTGACTCAAGTTGCCTGCCCAAAGCTGTGCAAACCAGCTGCCCCAGAGTAGATGAGATGCACTGACACAATCCATTCAGATGGCCCAGCTGCAGGAGCAGTAAACTGGGGAGAAAGCAAGCACCTGGACAGTAAGTCTTAAACAACTGCAGTTGTTTTTTCTGTGAGTTTTCTAACTGTACTATACAGGGACTGTACTGCTATGGTGTATCAGTACAGTTAAAGCAGTGCAGCTTTTGCTTGTTGCTGTAAAATCCTAGCTGGGTATTAAAACCTGTTCCTTTCTTTCCTGAAGAGCTAACCCCCTTCAGCAGCAGGTGCTTCTGTACCTGATAAAAGCAACATCTCAGCATTCATTGGCACTGAATGTTCCAGCAATTTTAGTTCTTATGGCCCCTCTTCCTCAAGAGGGTTCTGCTGCTATGGAGACATGAAAACAGTTTTTAAATGTATTGATTTAAGCAAAGGTGGTTTACTGCTCAGCACATCCAGTGCTGCATTGCCTCACAGAGTACTTGGGTATTTGTTATGGTTTTCCTGGCTTTATTTTGCCCAGTTCCTTAGTCTGACAGTGGATTCTCAGCAGCTGAATTAACTCAGGACAGTAAAAGCAGTTAGAGCAAGAAAAGATGTCTGTGCTAAATGGGCTCAGTTTAGGGCATGGGTAATCCTTTATTGCCTAATTTCTCATTGACTGTGTGGAGCTCTTGTCAGACATCAGGCAGCTTTCCTGTTTGACTGTGTTTTCTCATCCATTCTCTATTGTCCCATTTTCTTAAGTAGGTAACTGTTGTGACGAAGACAGCTGAGCTACTTCTTTTCAATAAAAGATAATAGTGGGTGTCAGTACAGAATATAGATGAGTGTAAAACTTAGTCTGTACTCTTAATTATTGTTTCTAGTTCCCTGTAGACATAACATGTGCAGAATATTTTCTTGAGTAATTAAACTTTACTGTAGTAAGGCATTAAAAACTCGGGTGCTTTGACCTAAGTGGTATACTAGGTACTGTAGATGAAAGACACTGCAGAAAGAAGGAATTAAGCAGGCTGTCTGTAAAATAGCCTGTCTCTTCCTTGCCTTGTTTAGAGGACATTTAGAAGCTGTGTTTGTGTCTGACTGCAGCCTGGGAGAGAGTCTCAGAAGCTTGTTTCACCACCTTCTGTAACAGTGTAGGAATAAAGAAAAGTAGGCCTTTAGCTGTGCAAGCAGCCACAGGTCTTTTCTTCATGCTGGGCTAGATGGGTTTGACTGGTTTATCCTTCTTTGGGATTGATTTTAATTGTGTATGGGACAAAACGTACTTACACTTTAGTGACTCTTTAAATTGGCAGTCTTTTTTGTTCCTCGGTCTTCTCAAGGACTCTGAAAATGTAATAAAACAAATTGCCTGCATCTCCTGCCTTTGTTTTGCTGCCCATGTAAAACCCCAGGAAGATCATCTACCCAAGCAGTAGCAATCAGTCTCAACAGCAGCTGTGTAGCAAGATTTACATTGTGACTGCTCCATCCACTTGCCTGCTGCAGTGGATGAAGCAGTTCTTCAGGGTACATTTGATAGGAGTGATGCTTCTCTAAGACCTTTATTTTTTCCTAGAGGAAAGCTGGCATGGATTGATAGGCTGTTCACTTTTGAACAAGGAACCGTCTGGTAGATAGGTCTTTTTCAGCTTGGTAAAGTAACTGTGAATTTTAACAAGATTTTATTGTTTTAAGTTTGTAGCAAAATAACACTGTTGCTGTATTTCTCATAGCAGATTTGATTCCCAGGACTAGATCTATTGGATGCTTTTGATGAAAGGAGGATGCTTTTTATGAAATAGAGTGAGATTTTGGTTTTATGTACAACATAACTGCACTTTGTACTTACTGCCGAAAACTGAGTCATTCTAGAGGCTACTGCTGTTTCAGTAGGCTGGTAAATACAGTTTAGAGGAAGGTGGAGCTTTGCTCAGCTGTCTTGACTGAAAATGTATGCTCTCTCTTAACCCTGTAAGAATTATTTATGTTAATCACTTGGGTACAGTGTACTTCTCCTAGCCATTCAGTGACCTTAGTTAATGAGGCCCCCAAGACAGGAAGGAACAAAGAGAAAATGTGAAGCAGCAAGGGCAAAGGTGGTGTTGCCGAGGGGTTTTTAATGTCTTCCTTTTTGCAGCATGTGTGTTTAGCTTTTATACCCAAAGGAGCTTTTTTCTCTCAATATCAGATCTTCCTTTGCTGTATTTTCCCCATGCTGCTTGCTTTCTACACACTTGATTGAATACCCCTTAGCAGGTTGCTTCCAGTTATTGTCAGCAAAACTATCCGTAATCCTAATGTGTTTCTAATCCTGGGTTTGTCATTGATAGTATGCTGACAATTAAAACTGTAAAAAGGATATTATGAATACACTGGCTAGCCTGTTGCCTTTCTTGTGTCACTGTACTTCCTCACCATTCTTTAAAAAGCACCTTTTATCATTAGACTTTCTGGGTTTGGGAGTGTTCTTTATTGGCTTTTGGACACTCAATCATAATGATAAATCTTACCTGAAAACCATCTCTTCTGCCAGGTAAATTTGAAGATAGAAGACGTAAAGGTCCAAAGTTGGAGCTCTTAAATAAGCTAGCATACATGTGCAATGTGGATGTGGTGTTAAGCAAGCAAGATTTGTTTACAATAGAAGGACTGCTTTTGGAAAACTTTGGCTGGAACCTCTGTATGCCAACACCAGCACACTACATTGACTACTACCTCTATGTATCTTTTGGAGCGAATGACCTTCACTATGGCTGGCCAATCACCTCACCAAACAAAGTCAGAGAGCTTCTGGAGACATACGCCTATTATTTCCTTGATTTGTCAGTGCAAGGTAGGAGGAGCAGGTTTGGGCTAGAATGATCTTCCATTAGGCAAAAGGCAAAAGTCTGAAAGAGATAAAGGCTTTAAAACTTGGCATAATGTGGATTGCACAAAGTTATCTGTGCAAAATGGTTTCTCTTTGCAGTTATTTCAGATGGCAGATGGAAGGTGACCCTTGTTTGTGTGCAAGTGTCTTGTCCCTTCAGAAATCTCTAGGTGGGATCAAGTTTTTCCTTCAGCTTAGAACACTAATTGATGAGGCGCTCAGAAACGGGGTCTAAGTTTAGGTCTGCCACAGACTGTGAACTACTGTCAGTTGCAGATACGATATGCAGTTCAATATATGAATCTTTTGAAGTGATTTTTTTACAGAGTCCTGTGCTGCAAGACATGTTTAGAATAATGGGACTTTTCATGATTTTATTTGTAGCATTGCTTCCAGTATCTGCCCATGTGAAAGGCAGTGAACTACAGCATCCTCATAGGCTGGGTTCAACACTAATATTAATATGTGTGTAATTGCCAGTACCAAACTATGGCTCAGCTGAGACCAGTCTACAAATTTCAGCAAAGTCTATTTTGTGGCTTTTTATGAAAGAAAAACTTACTGAACCCTTGATAATAGTTATGAACAGGTAGTACAGAGATCTTCAGGAAAGCTTCACCCAGTTTTGAGAAGCTTTTTCTGGTCATGAGTTAATACTTTGAGATGTGTGGAACAAAGTTGTGGATGTAATTTTGTCCTTTTTTGTTACGTATACTGGGTTCACTGCACTGATGAGCAGGAGTATAATTCTTGGTTTTGGTTTTTCTTTTGTAGATCCCACTTTCCTCCATTTTCGTCCATCTCTGATTGCTGCAGCTAGTGTGTGTGCCTCACGTATCTGTCTGCAGGTTTCTCCTATCTGGACAATGCAGCTTGAATGGCTAACATGCTATTCCTTGGAACATCTTGCCCAGTGCATTGAGATGATGCTCATGTAAGAAAGAAACAAAACCTGTTTGTGCTTCTAAGAAGATGTTAAGATGCTTTTTTATTTTCTTTAAGTAATTGTTTAGTTAGAACTAAGATAGTACAATATTACATGAGTAGTCTCCATCTTCAGTTTGGGGAGAGGAATAAAAGATTAAAAATCAGGTCACTTTTACTAAATATTGTATTTAACAATAATTACAATGCAGAACAGCGTGCACAATTTAATGTTTATTATGTTCTACTGGTTGTCTGTGTGGTTGGATGGAAGGTTTTAGAGATGGTTGATGAAAGATTTTTTTTTTCCCCTTTGTTTTCTTATTGTACCCACAATACACCTGCTCCAGAGACACACCAGTGTATCTCCAACAGTACAGTAGGAGACATTTCAGAACTGTTCTTTGTTTCCTTTCTAGTAAAGGACATGACTGTGATGTCTCAATACTGGTCTGGTATGTGAGCACATACAGTCTTAATCATTCTATTTAGCTTTTAAAATTTTCCATTTAGGTTGGGAGTGACGGTGGACCTTCTGAATTCCTACTAAAAGCAGGGCCAACTGAAGATAAATCAGACAGCTTGGGATGTTATCTAGTCAAATTTTGGCTGTTTCCAAGGACAGACTTCCTAACCTCTCAGGGCAACTTGTTGCAGTGCATCATCATTCTCGTGATAGCCACAAGTGTGAAAACGTTTCTTTCTACTATCCAACAGGAATTTGCATTATCCCTTTACAGATATGCACTTTCTCTGCAAATACTATTTCAAATTTCTGTGTTGTGGACTTAAGATTCCAAGACAGCCAGTCCATCTGTAAAAACACACTTGTGATGCAAAATAATCTATAGGCCTGTTGTGTGTGAAGATTGCAGCAGGATAATTAGAAATTAATTGTGAAAGCAACTAGGGTTACAATATACGCCTAGGGCAAAAAAGCTGATAGTGTAGCTGGGGAACACTTCAGGATATATGCAGCCTCTGTGAAGTTCTTTTTAATCAATCCTACTTATAATTTCTTTCAGGTATTATGAGAATGATGTCAATGAAACCAGTAACATAAACAAGCAAGAAACAATTCAATATCAAGAACAAGAAGCAGTGGGAAATATGAGTTACCAAGCTACTACTCAAGTTCTCTTCCAGCAATCTAGTTACCACCCTTTAACACAGCATTCAGCTGCATTTTCCCAGTTCCAGTGGCCAGTACAAGATCTGTGCTCAGCTTATCGTGAATCTTTACAGCAGGCCCACAGGCCCAGTGGTCCACCTGCTGGAAGCACTGACAGCTCCCTGCGCTCCGACACAGCTCCTCAGGACAGCCTTCAGCCATCTGCCCAGGCTCTGCCCATCCGGGCACCCTTTGCCACGCAGGTGGCATTTGGAACAGAGAGCAGACCCTGCGTTTCCAGGGTTTGTGGCAGTAGTTACTTCAGTGATTTTACTGGTAAATACTGACAGGAGAAAAAGGTGGTATGAATAAAAGCTGAAGAAGAGACTCTGTGATACAAGATGTGTACCTGAATTAAAAATAAAAATATACCGGAATTGGCATCAGTTAAATGTGTACTTCGTTTATGCAGAAATCTATATGTAGAACACTCTATTTCCTTTCATCAGCAGTGGTAGTTCAGGAGTAAGACTTTAGATTAAAAGGAAAAAAGGAAAAACTGGGCAGAAGACTATCAAACACATTTTTGACTTGAAATTCCCCTGGAATCTGAACGTGGTGCTGCTGAACAGAACATCACTCTGCCTTCAAGTATTTTAGAAATAAAAACAAAACTTTAAATCACCTCTTTCATCTTGAACATGCTGCTGCTGCTTTTGAGACTGGAGACTATTGTTAATAAAACTGTTCATGAGCTTTATCAGGGATTTAATGTTACTTGAAGAAATCCTCCTGGAAAACCTCTTAAAAGGTTCACGGCCTTCAGGTGTTTTATCTTTTGGGCTCAATGACTTCTGGCAGTAGCTCTGGCTCGGGACAGAAGAACTGGTGTTAATGGGGCAAAGGTGGGAAACTGGTTAACTTTGCTGGGAAATGAGAGTTTGAGTGCAGTGCTCACTCAAGTTTTTTCAATACCATCTTTGCATCCTCTTGGAAAATGTAGCTGGTAAATTGAAGATCCTGTTGCAGCTTTGCAATGAGACACACACCTACTGTCATGTATCCAGAGGGTTCTTTCTCAACTGAAACCAGGGCTCATAGTTCAGAAAACTGTAGAGGCTTTTATGGGAATGTATATTTTTACAAGAAATGGACTTCTGCAAATGTGAACCTTTAGTTTTGATATATGCAACCTACTGTAAGTTTGTTTGAAGGCAGTACCCTTGGGTTGCCTTCTCTCTGAAGGTTCTCGGGACAGCAATACTTGAATTGTGCAATATGCTTTTACTGACTTGGGACATTTTTTCCGACTTGTGTCTCATAGTGCTGTTTTAAATTATATTTTTAGAGACTTGTTTTTAATGGTGTTTTAAGCTGGAAGGGGAAAATGAGCCTGCATGCTAATGTCTGTTTGTGTACTATGTTCCAAGAACACAACTTCTGGTATCAAGCTAATAATATCTTCCATTCAGCAGGCTAGAGCAATCTTCTGGGTTTATTTTTAAATGCAAACTATAACTGAGGAGGCAGTACTCGTCAGAAATTAGTCTAGAACTTTAAGAGAACTTTGTCTTTTATTCTGTTATCTTTATATTTATATTAAACTTTATTTTCAGAAGACTTCAGTGTGTGCTTTTGTCTTTCAAGAGTCGTAAAGAACAACATACACATGGCAGTATCACAGAATCACAGAATCCCAAGGGTTGGAAGGGACCTCAAGAGATCATCTGGTCCAACCCCCCTGCAAGAGCAGGGTAACCTAGAGTACATCACACAGGAACTTGTCCAGGCGGGCCTTGAATATCTCTAGTGTGGGAGACTCCACAACTCCCCTGGGCAACCTGTTCCAGTGCTCTGTCACTCTCACAGTAAAGAAGTTCTTCCTGATGTTAACGTGCAACCTTCTATGCTCCAGTTTACACCCATTGCCCCTTGTCCTATCACTGGATACCACTGAAAAAAGCCTAGCTCCATCATCCTGACACCCACCCGTTACTGTTGGGGGGAGGTTTTTATCACCCTTATAATTTTTGAATCATGTGCAGTGTTCTACGTTGGACTGCGATTGTGCTTAATGGTGAAAATACTTGCTAGGTTCCCAGTGAAAGTTCCTAATAAACAAGCCACACAGCTAAAGTACCCTCTTCTTTCTGCGGTTCCTCCTTAGCTTTTAACAGCTAGTAAAAAGTACATGTCTCTACCTTCAAAATAACTGATCTGAGCACTCCTAATGTTTTATAGAAGAGTGGTAAGACCTGTGATGGAAAGACCTTGCTAAAAAATAAATTGTGAAAGACAGATCAGGAATTTGGTCACTGCACAAGAAAGGCAGAAAATGTGCAGAGACAAGGTGGAGATATAAAAGCAGATCTGATGGCCAGTGTGTTTTGAAGGTGCATCTTACCTGAGCAGATTGACAGACTGAATAGGAGAACACAGCTGTACGCTCAGTCTTTCTCCTGGTGACTCTATATTCTAAGCAGGAATTGTGCATTGACTTCCATGTTCCATATGTGCTGTTGTATCACGGGTGGAGATGGGGCAGATTAAGTCCAAGAGCAGCCTCTCCAAGGGAGGAGATTTATTAGAATTTGAGTTGGCTTAATACTGCTGCCTGACAGCTCTCTCCACAATGCCTTGAATGTTGGTGGCAATTCCACACATTTAATTTCTAGGTAAATACTTCTTCATGTCTCTGGTTATTTGTTTGTTTTTCTCTTCTGTCAAAACACCTCATCAAGAAGAGCAAATATAAAAGTGCAGCCAACATAAAGCTGCTTTTCTGAAGCCTTTTTACCACAGCTCTGTCTGGAGTGAGCTGCAGAGGTGCATGCAAAGCTGAGTTAATTTTTAAACAAATGATTTTTTCTTAAATTGTGCTTGTGCTGTTTGATGGTGTCAGCTGCAGCATAGTCATAGATCAGAATTTTTACAAGTTGATTAGCTTGTATTTCCCTGGCAGCCTTGGAAGCAAGAAAAGCTCCTGCAGAAGCAAATGCAGCAAGACTTGGCTCAGAATACAAAATGGGCTATGGCACTAGTTACTCACAGGGGAGGATGTTGCACAGGTAACCATAACCAAACAAAAGAGAAAGCTGACATTAAAATAAAAACCCCAAATATATTAGTGAGCCCTGACAACAGCTGCAGCAGGGATACAGATGGAAGAAGTCTGCTAATGCTGATCAGGCACCAAAGGTTAAAATGAACTTTAAAAATCTTGTAGCTGCAACATGCTGCTTTTTTAATCAGGAAACTACTACCCTCTCCCTATTTGTAAGAAAGTCATAACCTGGCGTTTGCAAAGTTGTCAAAGCCACTCTTTGATCCTTTTGTTTTAGCGAGTTTTACACACTGTAGTGAACAATTTAAAGTGTATATAATGCTTTTTCATCAGTGTAATCAACTCACCAGTAACGTGTGCAGGTGCTGCTGAACAAAATTTAGCTTAATACTATTTTTTTTACTGAGAAGTCTAGATACTAGCAAATGTGGGCCAAGCTGGTGGATTCTTGGTGACAATTCTGTGCACATTCCACCCCACAAGGGGTTTATTTTGCTCTCTGCAGCCATTTCAAGACAAGCCAGCTGAAAAGGCAGCATTGACCCCTTAAGTTCCAGCTCCCTGCCATGGGCAAGGACACCTTCCATTAGACCAGGTAGCTCCAAGCCCTTTCAACCTGGCCTTGACCACTGCCAGGGATGGGGCTTAAATTCAGCCCTGCATCATGAGATGGGTTTTGTGCTTGGTAAGAAATCCCAGCTGCAGAGCAGGCCTCACTGAGGAGGTTTACACCAAATTATCTCCTATTTTCATGCAAGTGCTGGTGGAGGGGAGACCTCTGTACCCACGTGTGCTGGATACCATCCACAACAGCCACATCCCATCTCCTTTTTACAGGCTGCACCATGATCTCTGCTGTCCTCCTCCTGTGGACTGTGCCTTGTGTGGCAAACCACATCGTGGGGGGCTTTGCCAAGGGAGCTCTGCAGGAAGGTACCCAACTGGCATGCAGCCTGCCTGGCCCCCCTGGGCCACCCGGCCCCCCTGGTGCACCCGGGGCTCCAGGAACGGTTGGTAGGATGGGATTCCCAGGCAAGGATGGCAAGGACGGCAAGGATGGGGATAAAGGCGAGCACGGAGATGAAGGTAATAGAAAAGCACTTCTTAACATAAGGGTAACATGTAAAAGCAATACTACAACAGCCCAGTTATCACATCACCCCAAATCTGAGCCCCAGCACGGACAACATCTCATAGGAAACTTCTAGAAATTTCCACTCTCCCCCCTCCAACATCTCACACTTCTCAGCTCCTGCCTGGGGGGTGAAACTGATGTGGCCTATTGTGTACAGGGGGGTTGTACAAGGGGGTTAGACAAAATGTACAGGGGGGTTGTACAGAATGTACGGAGGGGGGTTGTACAAGGGGAACTGCTTAAGTCATAGCTGCCTTTTGGAGGACCAATCCCCCGTGCGTCTTCAGCTGAATAAAGCATACCTACTTTACAACTTTAACGAGTTGTGGAGTCTATTCCGCTATCAATTTGGCGAGCCAAGCAGGAGATCTCTGCTCGGCTGCAGGATCGGCGGAGGGGCGGACCTCCTGGGCGCCCCAGGCCACTTGCCTGGAGGGGCTCCACTCCTCGTCCGCTCGCTGCAGGGACAGACAACAACCTGTGCCGCCTGCGGAGAAACGGTGTGCTTGGAATTTAGGTTTGTAATTGTCCTAGGATTGGTAAAGGCCTGTAAGGCGTACGCGTGGCCGGGGCTGCTTGTAAGCCGCTCAGAGACGTCTGGCGCAGAGCGCTGTCCCCTTGGTAGGGTAGGGCTTGCAAGTAGGGGACTCACCGACCGATAGAGCGGCCGCTAGCGACCCTGGTGGTGGGTCGGGTGAGTCTAGGGATTCGTCTGCTGATAGAGCAGCAGTTTGTATGGGGTGAAGGAGCTCCGGGCTAAGGGAGCCCGCCGATAGAGCGGCTGAATCGAGCTCCAGGTTTCACTGAAGGGTGCAAGCGGCATCTGGTGGTGAGTAAACCGGTGTAAGTGTGGGGGATCCCGAATGCAAGTGGTTTGTGTTTGTGTGACTGAGACGTAGCGTAGCTACGAAGCGAGTGCGGAGTCCCGATCCGCGGTTCCGTGTTCTCCGCGAGGAGAGCGGGCGGGGACGGACAAAGTGTCTTCTGTGTTGTGTCTAAATGTTTTGTGTGCGAATATGTCTGTCGTTGCTGTTAAAAGATTACAGTGCTTAAGCGGTGGGGGAGCAGTAGACAAAAGTAAACTGCTGCTACTGGGGGGGGGTGTTAAGAAGAGTTCCCTCTGCGCCCCAGTGGCTGTATAACAGAAG